ATCTGGGTTGTTTCCAGGTTCTGGCTATTACGAATAAAGCTGCTATGAACATGGTTGAACAAATGTCCTTGTTGTGTACTTGAGCTTATTTTGGATATATGCCTAGGAGTGGTATAGGTGGATCTTGAGGAAATACTATTCCTAATTGTCTGCGAAAGTGGGCTGGCAGAATTTTTAAGCTGGACCACTCTCTCTCCATCTCTGACATTCACCTAGTTCCATATTAGTTAACACATCCTTGAATTGTAATTCCAAAGAAAGTATTTTTTTCTGTGATCAACCAAGCAGTCATTTACAGCATAGTCCTTGCATTTTCATTTGCTTTGAAAGCATACCTTTTAAGCATATCATGTTTTTAAAAAGCATATTGCTGACACATAAACACATTTTGTTCACTTGTACTGGGGCAATCTGTTGTTATAATAAATCAAAATGGTAAGTCTGCAAGCACATGTACATATATGGTAAACACACACACACACACACACACACACACACCAGCAATAGCTGGTGATTAGTGCAGTAACTCACAATGGTCAAAGTGGGGAGAATGAGTGTCAACGGAGTGCTCAGCCATCTTTTGTATATCACAACTGCTCCCCAGTGCCCAGGGACCATTGCAGAAGAGAAGAAAGATTTGAGAGCCAGAAGCCAAAGAGGACCAGAGTGAAACAGGGTCTTCCAGACATGACAGGACAGCTGACCTCATGTACTCAGAGCATCTGTATGAGATCATTTACACATAACTGCACAAGATCAAGCCAGTCAGCTTGGGAGAGAGCCTCCACCCCTGAGGAGCTCTGCATAGTTAGTGGCTTCTGGGGGAAGGAGAATCAGTTTTCTTTTTTGCTTGTTTTATTTTGATTTTTGATATTATAATTTCATTATGTTTCTCCTTTCCCTTTCTTCCCTCTAAACTTGTCCATATAACCCTTTCTGCCCTCCTTCAAATTCATGGCCTCTTTTTTCATTGTTATTACATACCCATATGCTTTTGGGTCCAAATAATGTTACCTGTATGTATGTTTGCAGGGGTGTGGCTTCTGGCAGATCAATGACTGAAGTGGGTAATCCCACACCTAGGAGCATATGGGCAGTACACATTGGAGTCATGGGGGTTGGAGGGTGGGGAGATAAGGTCTCACTGCTGGCTGAAAAGCTACTGACCTTTCATAGCTTCTGAGAGTCAGTTGTTTTTTTGTTTTGTTTTTTTTTTTCATGGTGTAAACCTTGGTAATCTGCCCACATATAGGGCAGGCCCCACACCTAACAGTAACTGAGCATTACAAATTAGAATCAATGGGTTTTAAAAGAAAGAGAGAGAACATGAAATTGTGTAGGTAGGGAATGTCATCAAAATATATTCATCATATGAAAGTCTCAAAGAATAAAAATATTATTTTAGAAAAAGATCTGGTGAAAAAAATGTTTAAAGACAGCTGCCCCACTGCTGGGTTTCTTGTTATAAATTTAGTGTGCTGCTGCTCACTAAATTTCCATGTACAGTCCTCTTGAAGAGACTACTGATTCCCTAGCTGTGGGGTTTTCTCCCAACAGGGAAACTCAGTCTGTTATCCTGGGGCGCACAGTTCTGTCTGAGAAAGTGGGAGGTGCACTCAGCAAGTCTCTGGGCCAAAGGCTGATTGCTCTGCTCTGGACCTGGAGAATGTGCACCTAGGTTGAGTTGGCGCCTGGGGGCACTGCTCTGGTCTGGAGGCTGGGTGCCTCACTCTGGACCAGAAGCTGTGTGTCTGTCTGGGATGGCGGCTGTAGGTACCGCTCTGGTCCAGACGCTGTGGGTGCAGCCCCCCTGAAGGATCAGGGATTCCCACAGTTTTGGCAGTCCAGCCAGGGACAACAGCTGTCTTGAGAAATTTTATGGGTAAGAGGAGATCCCCCCCTGCCTAACATAGACCACAGCTACTACTCAGGGCTATAAACCTGAGGTGAGCAGTGGCAACTCCGGAGAAACACTGGCCATACCAGTGTATGTTATGATCACATACCAGTGATCATAACCAAAAAGCAGAGAAGGACTCCTTCAGGAAAAATCATCTTCAGGCCAACGGGATACTCCCTACCTCAGGACTCCAGGAAGCACAGAAACTAACAGCCAAAACCTAAATCAGCCCAATGGGTAGATGTCAGCGTAAAGGCTCAACCAACAAAAGACAGAGCAATATGGCATCTCCAGAACCCAGACATCCAGGGGCGAACAGCCCTGAACAATGCAGCATAATAGAAAATCAAGAAGATGACCTTACATCTATGTTGATGAAGAGAATAATAGAAGAAACAGATAAAATACGTAAAGAATTAGAGGAAGATAAAACCAAACAGATCATGGCTATCCGTAAAGAAATGGAGGAAGATAAAGACAAGCAAATTAGGGCCATCCGTGAAGAAATACGGGAAGATGCAGCCAAACAGCTTGTGGCCTTCAGAGAAGAAATAATTAAATCACTAAAAGAAATCAAAGAGACAGAGTTGAAGGAACTAAAAGAAAAAGAGGAAAATACAAGCAGACAGGTGAAGGAAATCAACAAAACAACTCAAGACCTGAAGATAGAACTAGAAAAATTAAAGAAAACACAAATGGAGGAAATAATGGAGAGGAAAAATTTAGGGAAGAAAACAGGAACTACAGAGGTAAGCATAACCAACAGAATACAAGAAATGGAAGAAAGAATCTCAGGTGTAGAAGATACAATGGAAGAAATCGATGTATCTGTCAAAGAAAATGTTAAATCCAAAAAATTCCTGACACAGACCGTCCAAGAAATCCAAGACAATATGAAAAGACAAAACCTAAGAATAATAGGAATAGAGGAAAAAGAAGACTCCCTTCTTCAAGGCCCAGAAAATATTTTCAACAAAATCATTGAAGAAAATTTCCCCAAGTTAAAGGAGAAGCCAATAAGGATACATGAGGCCTACAGAACACCCAACAAATCTGACCAGAAAAGAAAATCCTCCCGCCACATAATAATCAAAACAGTAAGTATACAGAACAAAGAAAAAATACTAAAAGCTGCAAGGGAAAAAGGCCAAGTAACATATAATGGCAAACCCATTAGAATCACACCTGACTTTTCAACAGAAACTATGAAAGCCAGAAGGGCCTGGACAGATATCATGCAGACCCTAAGAGAACACAGATGTCAACCCAGGCTACTATACCCTGCAAAACTCTCAGTCCTCATAGACGGAGAAAACAAGATATTCAATGACAAAAACAAATTTCAACAATACCTACACACAAATCCTCTGACATAATCTGATTGGCCTGCTCGTTGATCACTTCCCCCTGAGGGGGGAGCAGCCTTACCAGACCACAGTAGAGGACAATGCAGCCACTTTTGATGAGAACTGATAGACTAAGATCAGAAAGAAGAGGAGAACCTCCCCTATCAGTGGACTTGGGGAGTGGCATGCATGCAGAAAGGGGAGGGAGGGTGGGATCGGCAGGGGAGGAGGGAGGGGCTTATGGGGGGATACAAAATGAATAAAGTGTAATTAATAAAAGAAAAAAGAAAAAAAAATGTTTAAAGACTCATTTATGTATTTAATATATATGTGGGTACTCTGTCTGCATGCATATCTGCATATCAGAAGACAGCACTGGACAGTCATGAGCTCCCATGTGGGTGATGGGAATTGAACTCAGGACCTTTGGAAGAGCAGTGAGTGCTCTTAACTACTGAGCCATTTCTTCAGTCCATAGTGAAAAAAAAAAAACAAAAAACAAAAACTTAAAAACACAATTTAAGACACAATTTTATCATATTACTATCTTTTATCCAGTCTATTTCAGTATTACCATACCCTTTTGGTATGTATGTTTTATGATAGTCATTTTATTGTTTAGAAGAACATTTGCTTTTAAGCATGAAAAGAAACATTTATGTGTGATAGATGCCCATGGAATTGATGATGACTCTTACAGGGTAAAAGGTCTAAAACTTCCTCAGGCATAGGAAGATGACTAAAAAATATGCAAAGGAGGAAATTAACAACAAGGGAAAAGATGCTAAAAGAAGGGAAGGAGGCACCTGACGAGGAATTTCTTCCACAGTGGAAGGTATCTAGCTGTTACAAAGTCTCCAAGATACTCCAATCAGGAGTGTCTACATTAGATTCATGTCTTATCAGATCATCCCTGAAATAAATTGGAGGCAAAAGAAGTTGAACATGAAGTCTGCCCACTTCGGCTGAGAAATGCTGAGGGTTGAAGAAAGTAGCATCAAGATGGCAGAAAGGGAGAGAACAGATGTAAAAGGCATCCCAGAGGCAATGCCAGCAGGAGCTGATGACAGGCTGCGGGTGGAACCAAGAAAACAATCATGTCCAGGAAGACCCCTGAGTGTCTTGTGATAACCGAATCCCCCCCTCTCCCAGCAAAAGTACCTCTCCCTGGCTGTGAGGCCATCTGGCAATGTCCAGCCAGCTTCCATTTCCAAATGGAACTGATGAACAAACAGAAACGATTCCTTATTATCAGATCTTAAAGTCCTAAGGGCCAGAGACCGATCAACTGAATCAAAGTACATAAACCACAAAAGCTTCTCATCTATTCACCACATGAAGCTACAAAGTGTCTCACACAAAATGTCAAGGTGAGTAAACGAAGCCATGATTAGGTGGTATAATAATGTTCTTGGGGATTATTTTATCTATACCAAGTACTGCCAAACCAATTAATAACAGATGAGTCTCCATATGCCACAGCAACCAGGCCTTTGAGAGAACATTAAGAAATAGAGCCCTCACTCACCCTTAATTTCTATGTTTCTCTAATACTCATAAATATTTAATTTAAACTGGAAATCAGAAAGGCCAACTTAGCATCTTAATACCAGGAAGCTCAGCTGAAGCCCATACAACTTGTGCCTCCATCTGAATTAATATTCTATCATTCACACTTCTGTTGATTTCTATAGATGACTTTATGTTAGATATTTCACATTTAACTAAAAAAAACAAAACAAAACAAAACAAAACACAGTCCATAGTCACTTTAATGTACCATTTTGGCTCATTTTTGACAAGAGGAAAATACACGTATTTTCTTCACAGTGGTACAAAGCAGTGAGTGTGGCTGTCATCATATGGCTTGAGATGTTGGGGAGTCTTCGTAAAGGACTTCATCTACCTTCATGTCGTGCTCGTCCACTGGGACCCGGGGACAGATCTGCTCTTTGAAAGCCAAAGCCAAGGTGTAGGGCCTCACTTCCTGATGCTGCACACAGCGCTTCAGGTAGGTGTCGTAATAGCCCTTGCCCCGCCCCAGCCGGTTGCCCTCTTTATCAAACCCCAGGCCTGGAAAGATGATGAGGTCAAGTCCACCTGTGGGAAACAGAAACGTATTTGGAATATCAATGGTTACTGCAAGATCACTTTAGGATGGCATGTGGCTTTTACTTCTAATAACAATCCCTTTTCTCATTTTTTTAAATACATAATCCTTTTTTAAATTATGAAAACATCAAGTTGAACAAAGAAGGAAATAATTTTTCAGCAACGTTGTTAGTCCTGCATCCATCCTTCAGCAGTTCTTTGGTGTGCCTCTATAGAAATGGCAGATTCCTGGCCTCATCCATGACAGCTAGAGGACTCTAGAGGGCACAGCCTCAGAACTTCCTTTAATTCTAGCATGTAGCAGATTCAACACACCTGTCCGGTTTGGGAGTCAGTACTCTGGGTTAATGACAGATGGAGGGATAGGAGAGAGTAGGGGAAAAACAGAAAGGATGGAGTTATTTTCACAGCTACTAAGTGTTCCATGCAATCTACTAGGCCCACTCCTCTTCCTTTCCCTCCCATTGACAGACAAGGGTAGGCTCAGGCTTTCAGCTTCGGTGTAGGCTAACCATTCAGACAGCACTGATGGCAAGGCATACCATGGCTGGAAGCCAAGGACTCTCCAGCAGAGGGCGCTAGGAGTTTTTCAGAATGCCAGCTAGATTGGCATTCTGAGCAGCTGCTGACTTTCTATGATGTGAACCCCACTTCCTGTTTCCGTCATGCACCTGTTCACCCTACTTGCCAACATCCAGGAAGAGCTCAGCTGCAGCCAGATTGAATCCTCTAAGCTTGCCTGTCTATTTCAAGAGGGGGTGCGGGGGGGGGAGAGGCAGTGCCACTAACCTTTCCTCTCTGTCCCTGTCCCATTCATTTATCTCTCTAGGAGTGGACAGTGTCCTGTATACTTGGACTCTGCTCCCCAGAGTCCTTTCTGTTTCCAGAGCAACTGACTTAAGTTCCTGTCTTTTAAACCTGCAACACACATACATTTTCTATGCTTTCTGCTTCTGCACAGTGTGAAAAAGGTGTGCCTACCTTCAGGAGATGACAATTCAGTTAAAATACAATTTTCCCACATGTGATAGCAGGCTAAGCAACATCTCTATCAATTGTCCCAAAACAACAGAGACAAGGGCTCTAGAGGCTCCGGCAGAGAGTAAGATACCTGGGCAACAAGACCAGGTCATGGGGTATTTTGACATGACTTGGATTTTTAAGAACATGCCCTGAGTCAGCTTATATCCTGGAAACCAGAAGAAGGGTGGCAGGAGTAGTACACTGAGGAAGGGCAGGCAGCCGTTTGTTTGCTGGGGAAGGAAGACTGGGGTAAAGGAGTAAGGGCAGATGGGCGTGCAGTTCTCTCCAGCACTAGCAGTGGGTGTACAAAATGGGAGGACAACGGCATGCAGGTTTCTCAGAAAACTCAAAGTAGAGCTACCATAAGATCTGGCAATCCTCCTAGGTGTTTACCCAAAACAATTAAAATCAGGATCTCAGCAGATCTTTACACTTTCATTTTCATTGTAGCCGAAAGGTAGAATAGCCTAAATGTCCATCAGAGTAGCAACTGTTCAAAACAAGTAAACAGAAAACAAAGACCATGGTACACACATGTGGTAAAGTATTAATCTGCCACAAAATAGAAAAAAATGATAATACATGGATGAACCATGAAGACACTATGTTAAATGAAAAATTTCATATAAACACATGCACTATATGATGCCACTTAGATTAGTTATTTAGAATAATAAAACTTTTATAAATAGAAAATAGAATGCCATTTGCCAGGGGCCAGAGACAGATACTATTTGATAAGTACAGCGTTTCAGCCATGATGGAAGGAAACGCTCTATATGCCACCGTGTTTATAGCCCAAATAAATGTAATCTGCAACTAAAATCTCAAGAGGTTACATCTCATATAGCATACTAGTTTACGTAATAAAAAATAAAATCTGAAAGCAAAGCAGCAAAATAGGATGGCAACAGAACAGCAGGGATATCCACCAGTGCCAACTCATAAGGAAAGAAGGCAGAATTTTGGAGCTGCCACATTTCTGCTGGTGGAGGAAGAGAATGGAGAGAAGAACCAGGCAAAGAAAGCCATTCTCAGCCCTCCAGCTGGAAACACGTTTGCTACTGCTCCTGATCCTCACTGTGCGTGGTCTGCTGCCCTCCCTGGAGTCTATCTTATAGAGCTGAGTGTATACATCTCTGTCGACTCAGCCGGACAGCAAATTTCCTTGTGGGCCATAATTTTTTCCAAGTCATCCTTCATGCTTGAATTTTAATAGACTTCGAGAGCACAAAGACCCTGAAAGATGAGTACATTATCTTTAGATGGATCAATCCTGGCATGACACCCCCTACTTTAATAACTTCAAGGTACATATATTTGGATTAAAGTAATAACATCATGGGACAAATCGAGTTGGTCTATCTTCACATGGCTGCTAGTTAGATGTGAAACTATAGCTCTAAAGCAGAAGTGGGAATGGCCTTTATACTGTTGGGTAACTATGGGATCTGAAACTGTCCTTCAGGGACCCTGGCATTCTACTTGAGATGCTGGCTTTGTAGTCCCTGCCCATAGGATTATGCCCAGGTAACTCCCTTCTACTATTTCTGGACTTGACTGTGGCCCCAGTTCCAGTGGTTACAAAGGCAGCCCTTTCTGGCATGTTCCCACTTCTGCTATCTGGTGAATCTGAGTGTTTTCCTGAACACATACTGCATTCCTTATTTGACTTCATCCATCTGTTGTTGCCTTTGAAGTTCTTCCTATGCCTTGCCACTATCTTTTCTTCTTTCTTCTATCCCTTCTTGAGATACACATGAACACATGTGCGTGAATATACACATACACTCACACACCACACACACACACACACACATACACACAGACCTACCTCTCTGGAAATCTTCACAATTCCATTAACACAACTTCTGGATGCCTCCTTTCCCTACATCTTGATTTAGCTGAAGAAATCAATGGGACAAGTAAATGGACAAGCTTCCCATGCCACACACACTTGAGTTTGACCCTAGACATACCCTCATCTACCACAAAGTCAAAACACAGTAGGAAAAACAGAAAGGCCTTCGTTCTTCACACACATTCTTCATGTGGCCCTATTTACAATCACCAAAGGCTCATTAACAGAGGATGGCATTAGCAGTGTCCCCCATAATTCTGAACCCTTTGTCCTCTTGCCTTATAGGCCCCACTGGAGTAGAATGTAACTAGGACAGCCAAAGAGCTCCACTCATCAGGATTGCAACAGGAACTTCAGGCAGAGGTCCCTGGGGGTCACTCAGTTCTTCTGTACAGCCAGTTTATTGTCTGTTTGTTCTTGTTGGGGGTGGGCAGGGTGGCTTCTTAGCTTTCTTGCATTCAAAACTGTAAAGCTATCCTTTGGAAAATGGTCCCAGCCTTATACCCTGTGTTTGTTCTCAATCTTTCTTTTTTCCATTATTTGCTATTGCTCTGACAAGGCAGCTGGTAAGGGGCAAGGACCACGCTATTTCCTGGCTGTGGGATCAAGGGCGAGCTACTTTCCAGTCTGTGCTTCAACATTATCACCTGCAAATCAGCTGATCACCTGCTGTCATGAACATTAAATTAGATAATGCTTATGAACTCTACAGTTAAGTACCATCTATGATGATCACACTTATTATGAGACTTCCTCAAATTAAAAAATATGAGGCACCATTTCTTAAAACAAGCTGGGAGAGAAAGTTTCTCTGGAGCTCCCAGTGACATGGCACAGGCCTACTTAATACACTCTTCCTTTAGAACTGACCCATGCATTCTTCCCTCTCCAGGGACCAGCCAAAAAGAGGGAGCAGAGAACTAGGAAAGTGAAGGTAAAGAACCAGAGTTAGGTGAGGTGAGTGTTGTTTTCTGTAAAGGGAAACATAATTTAGTCTATGAGACACCGTGGCCATAGGTCAGTTTTGTATTGTGAAAGCAGCAATAGGCAATATACACTTGGATAACTGGCTATGCTTACTTACTAAAACTGGTAAAGGGCCAGACTTGCCCCGCAGGCTATAGTTGCTACCCTGTCGTGGAATATCAAAAGCTTCTGAAACAAGAACAGAGAGGGAGTCAAAGGTGGAGAGGGTAAGAACAATATCTCTTACAGGTGGCAAAGAGGCAACAGCTGCAGGAAGGGACGTGGAGGGGATGGGAACAGGCAGAGCTAAGGACTCTTCATCAGCAAAAGGAATCCTGGGAAATAAGCTTTGGGAGAAAAATAAAAGGGGGTTTTATGCATTCTTCTACTTGCCCTAGTTCTGAGGATTTAGCTCAACTTTGGGAACATAATTTTCAGTAAGATAACAGCAGATGTGTCTGATGACACCCTGAATTCAGAATCCCAGGGCAGAGGTCTCCAGGATGGAACCACTTCAGCCACTGGACTCTCTCTGCCCTGACCCCGACTAAGTGGTGGAGCCCAAGAGCAACACACATCTTCCTGCTCTGAATTCAACAGGCTCAGTTCTTAGCACTCACCTCTCACTTTAATTCTTTTTATCTTGCATTTCTTGTTCACACTTTCCACACACTCTTCTTCAGGAACTTTATGAATATGATTTAGTGCAGTTACCCTTCTGCACCAGGGCCAGAATTCTCATCTTGTGATTCTTACCATTCCTCTAGAAAGTCCAACTGATTCTCCCACTTCCTAAACTGCAGACTTTTCCCTCGCTCTCCCCTGTTCAAAAGTATTCAGCTGGGAATGTAACTCAACTGCAGAATGTTTTACCCACTGTGCAAAGCCCTGTGCTTGATCTTCAACACTGCCTGAAAACAGGCATGGAGGACCATGCATGTATTCCTAGCCTATAATTCTAGCAGGAGGATCAGGAATTCAGTCATCCTTGGCTATATAGAATTCAAAGCCTTCCTGGGTTACATGAAACCCTGTCTCCAAAAACAACAATTACAAAACAAAACAAAACAAAATCTAAACAGTACATTTAGTGTATCACCTTTAACGATAACATCCAAGTTGTCTTTGTTGGCTATGC